TGACTAAGTGCAAGAAGACTCATACACTTTATTCGATGCAAGGAAAAATTTGTAAAGGTGTTGTCAATGCACTTGAAAATCATACTTCTATCAAATTGTGGCACAAGCGGCTTGGGCACCTGAGTGAAAAGAGGCTGCAAGTTTGTTCAAGAAAAAGATTTTACCCGGTTTGAAAGGTACACATCTTAAAACTTGTGTTCATTGTTTGGCGGGTAAACAACATAGAGTTTCTTTTCATAAAAATGTTGCTTTTAGAAAAGAAAATGTTTTGGAGTTGATTCATTTGAATGTTTGTGGTCCTTTAAAAGTTAGAACACATAGTGATGCACTTTTATTTTATTACTTTCATTGATGATTATTCAAGAAAAGTTTGGGCTTTTATACTGAAAACTAAAGATGAAGTTATAGAAGTATTTAAGCATTTTCAGGCCATGGTTGAAAGAGAAACATGGCAGAAATTGAAGTGCATCCGATCAGATAATGGTGGTGAATACATTAGGCCATTTGATGAGTATTATCGCAGCCAAGGTATTCGGCACTAAAAGACAGTTAAGAAGACTCCTCAACAAAATGGCGTTGCCGAGAGGATGAATCGCACCATTGTGGAAAGAATAAGGTGTTTGCTTTCACAAGCTAAATTGCCAAGATCCTTTTGGGGTGAGGCAATGAGGACAACGGTTAACGTGATCACTTTGTCTTCTTCCTATCCTTTGAATGGTGATATTTAGATCGGCAAAGATGTGTCTTATGAGCACTTGAGAGTGTTCGGTTACCGAGATTTTGTTCACATTCCAAAAGATGAGAGGTCCAAGCTTGATAGAAAGTCAAGACAATGTATTTTTCTTGGCTATGAGCGCAATGAATTTGGTTATAGATTGTGGGATCCGATCAACAAGAAAGTCATTCGAAGCCATGATGTTGTCTTTCTTGAAGACCAAACAATTGAAATCTTTGGCAAAGGTGATCAATTGGAGCCAAAAACTAGTGATCTCATTGACATGGATCAATCTCCTTCATCTGCAGTTGATGATGAAAATGAGGGAGATATGCAGTCACCTATTGAAGATATAGAGGATGATGCTAATCCTAATGAAGTTGAGCCAGAAATTGAGGAAGAGCATCCAACTCAAGAACCGCCACCACAACTTAAGTTGAGGAAATCTACAAGGGATTGACAACCGTTAAGATAGTATCCTCCCAATGAATTTGTATTGATATCCGATCAAGGGGAGCCTGATAGCTACCAAGAAGCAATTGAGCATGCAAAGAAAGATGATTAGAAAAAGGCCATGGAAGAGGAATTGAATTCCTTGCTTGAAAATCACACTTATGATTTAGTGAAGTTTCCTAAGGGTAGGAAAATTCTGAAAAATAAATGGATTTTCAAATTGAAGAATGATGGCAAGAATCTGATGTGCAAGGCACGTCTTGTTGTGAAAGGCTTTGGGCAAAAGAAATGTATTGACTTTGATGAGATTTTCTCGCCGGTTATGAAGATATCTTCTATTTGGGTTGTACTTGGCATGGCTGCAAGTATGAACTTTGAAGTTGAGCAACTTGATGTGAATACCGCATTTCTTCATGGTGACCATGAAGAAGAAATTTACATTGAGCAACCGGAAGGTTTTGTAGAGAAAAAGAAAGAAAATTTGTTTGCAAATTGAAGAAAAGTTTGTATGGCCTCAAGCAAACCTCGCGGTAATAGTACAAAAAGTTTGACTTTTTCATGATGAATAATGGTTTTTCTAAAACCACTTCCGATTATTGTGTGTTTGTGAAAGTTTTTTCAGATGGCAAATTTATTATTCTTTTGCTTTATGTTGATGACATGTTAATTGTGGGTCAAGATTCTACCATGATTAACAATTTGAAATTGGAGTTGAGCAAGTCTTTTGCTATGAAAGAGTTGGGGCCGGGAAAGCAAATACTTAGTATGAAAATTGTTCGTAATCGCAAAAAGGGACTGATTTGGTTGTCTTAATAAAGCTACATTGAGAAAGTTCTAGAGAGGTTCAACATGGATAAAATAAAGCCAATTGGTTGTCCACTTGCGAGTTACTTCAAGCTTAGTTCGAATCAATGTCTTACAAGTGAGAAAGACAAAGAAGAGATATTAAATATTCCTTATGCTTCAGCAGTTGGTTCTTTGATGTACGCCATGGTTTGTACAAGGCCGGATATTGCTTACGCTGTTGGTGTGGTGAGTCGTTTTCTCTCTAATCCGGTAAAAAACATTGGGCAGCAGTAAAATGGATTTTAAGATATTTTCGAGGGACTTCAAAGGTGTGTTTGTGTTTTGGAGATGGTAAATCGATGCTTGATGGGTTCACGGATTCTGACATGGCCGGTGATGTTGATTCTAGGAAATCTACTTCGGGGCATTTGATGACTTTTGCAGGGGAAGTTGTGGCATGGCAATCTAAATTACAAAAATGTGTTGCTCTCTCAACTACAGAAACTGAATTTATTGCCATTACGGAAGCTTTCAAAGAAGAGTTATGGTTGAATTTTTTTTTTGCAAGAGTTGGATTTGAAGCAAGAAAAGTATGTGCTTTATTGTGATAGTCAAAGTGCTATTCATTTGAGTAAAAATTCTACTTTTCATTCGAGATCGAAACACATTGATGTGAGATACTATTGGATTCGTGATGTGTTAGATTCGAATTTGTTGCAACTTGAAAAGGTTCATACAGATGATAATATTTCGGATATGTTGACTAAAACTTTGTCGAGGGGCAAACATCTAAAATGTCAAACTTTCGTGGGTATGGTTGATATCTCCACCTAAGTCGGTAGGGAGAGAATTGTTGGGTATACCTCCTTATTGGAGTATGGGACCCAATTGGTTTATTAAAAATATTTTAATTTGGTTTGGTTTGAGTATAATATATTTTATATATTATATTTGATTTTTGGAATCCTAATAGGTATTTGATTGTCAATTTGATAGCAGTTAGTGTTTGAATAAAAAAAACTCTAGAATTAACAATATATAAATATTGTTTATGTGCTCCGGAGTGTAGCGAAAATTCTTTTCGGTGAGAGTGCTTGGTGTATAACTCAATTTGGTGGGTTTCAGTTGGTGTTGATTGTTGCCATGAATTTGACCTGGCCAAATTCAAGAATTTGTGTCTTTTGGCTGGTACTCTGCTTTGAAGCGTTTGATTTGATGTTGATTTGGGTTATTATTATGCGTATTTCACAACTCTGGTTTCGAAAACTTTAGTTCATATATTTGATAAGGTCTTTCCTGTTGTTTATTTGTGATTATTTAGAATTCACCTAATAGTGATTTTGTGAGATCATTCGTATCTCGTTTGTAATCGTTTGGAAACTTTTGGATTGATAGTGGAATTGAATTTTGATTTCATGGACGTACCTCACATTAAGGGAATCACGCAAAATTCTTGTGTTAATTTTGATTTAATATTTTCACATTAATTTTTATTCCCATTAATTAATTTATTAGTAGAAAATCATATATTTTTCCTCACACAAACTATTTATCAGTTCTGACAATGATTTTCCAAAAAAAGAACAAAGTCAAAAAGGGAAGGGGCAAAAAAAAAGAAAAAAGGTAAATTGTAAAACTTCTTAATTGAATTAACAAATGACCAGAAAGTCTTTCGGTAAATTTTTCCACAGAGACTTGAAATTATTGGTTACCATTCATTTTTGTCAGGGTAATAATAATGTATCATCCTTGTCAAATAATACAGGCACTAGAATAATTAGGGTTGGTTTAAAAGGTGATTTTTTTTTTTATTTTGTTTTATAGTTTTTTTAGTTTTTTATCAAAAACAAAAAATGTAAAAACGTAGAAATGAATTTTTAAATTTTTTTTTTTGATTTTATGACTTTTTAATTATCAATCTATTGTCAAATGAAGGCTTAATGAAAAAAAATAAAAATAAAAATAAAATAAAATATAATAAAAATTAATGTCAAGTAGCCAACAGGGTAATTAAAGAATAATATAAATAAACCTAATAGGTTGAGATCGGAAATGATTTAGTTGATGAGATATTTTTTTTATTATAATATCCGAGTTTGAGTCTGACGGATCCAATTTCTCTATATCTTAATCTTTCCGCTCCAATTTAGCTTGTGCACCGGTATTAAATTATCATGTAGTTAGCTCATGACATGAAAGCACACCATCAGAGGTAAATGATTTATACTTCATGGGTTGGCGTAAATAAAAAGTTAATATTTTTTTATTTTTTAAAATTTTTATGTGATTAAAAAAATTAATGTGTTTAAGAATAAAATTTTTTAATTGAATTTGTTATACATAATCCAATTTTTTTATCTCATTTTCTCACTCCAAGACACAACGAAATCGGTCCACATCAACAAAAACATATGAGACTTCACTTTTGTCTTTAAGGTAAGAAAAAGAGGTAAAAAAATAGAATTATATGTAGCATTTTTCTTTTTAATTGTATTAAAAATCATGGTTTACTGAAATGTTTGACAATTTTTTGGTGATTTTTTAACTTTAATAATTTTTAATTTTTTTTTTGACTTCTTAATTATTTTAATAATAATTAAAAAAATTGAATTACCAAACAGGGCCTCTTTTTTGTCACGTTAGCAGAAGACTTTCTTGGTCATGGGTTGGCCGTAGATAAATATCTGGTTTTGTTTTTTTAATTTTTTCCCCACCTAAAGTCGTCATCGTCAACTATGGAAATTAACAACTTTTTACAAAGACTGCTAAAAAATTTCAATAACATGACAAATTGAAAATTATGAAATTATAAGTTCTCTTCAACTGAAGAAAAATCAGACAAAGAGACCAAAGCATAAAGACAAAAGCAAAAAGCCTAAAAAAAAAAAAAATTAATTAATTAATTAATTAATTAACTCACAAACATATACCTTGCCATCTTAACAATTTGTTTTATTTTTTTGCTAATCATTTGTAAACTTAATGATACTTATATGCAACTAATATATATAATTAGTTGCTTGAACATTAACAAAAACATTGATCTTTAGTAAGGACGCTCTCCAATATAGTTGCCTGGGGGATCATAATTGCAAGAAACAAGCCACCATCCATTCTTGCATAGAACTCTAGCGCACCCAAGATGGATTGACTTTCGCCACACCACCTGAGTATAATGTCCGCAATCTTGTCCCCCAACACATGTGTTGGACTTGTAGTCATAGTAAGGCTTCTCTCCAACCCAAAGACTCACTGCATTGGCACCTGTAAATGAACCTGTGCCCTTGGCAAGATTCTCCCCGTAAGGTCCGTTTGAGTGGATGAGATTGCAATCGCCAATCCTCGAATTAGCATAGTTTTGTGCATAGGCAGCTACAGTATTATTCCATGTCAAAGGCCCAACACCCACTTGGGCACGAGCTGCATTTTGGCCATTAAGGTAATCTTGTGGTGAGTTTTGGGCATGGGAGGGATGAACCAAGGCTATGAGACATACAAAAGCTAACGAAATATCACTCAACACCATCTTGCCTTCTTCTTTTTTTTTTTTTCTTGCCTTCTTTTTTTTTTTTTTGTCTATAACACAAAGTGTTTCCAATGAGGCTTGTTTCATGTGATATTTGTAGGCAAATTACATCACAAGGGATTTTTAACACAAAGTTCTACATGTAACTTGTATTATATTAAGGCCAAGTTTGACATATTGCAAAAAAGTTAAAAAGCCAAAAAGTTATTCAAAAAGTTAAAAAGTTAACACTATTCACCAAAAGTCAACAATTACAGCTGCACAACTTCCAATCCTAATTTTTCCTTATAAATTAATTTTTATAATTTTTTATTACACATTTTTTCATAAAAAGTCAAAAAGTTAACCCAAACATCCATATTTTCTTCCTCAATTTTTTAGTCCAAAAAGACAAAAAGTACACTTATTTACCCCAAAATTTTGGTAGAGCAATGCAAAAGGTAAAAAATTCAATTTTTTCAAATGTAACACTAAAAATGGTAACAAAATTTGACAATACTCATTTGGAAATTTCAATCAAAATAACCTAGTGTGAATTTTTGTATAAGTGTGAAATTTCAAATGTAAATATTCGCATTTAAGACTGTGAAAAAAAGAAAAGAAGCTATAAGTATGAAATTTCACATTTTCATTCAATAAAATTATTAAAACACCATGACATATAATAAAGAATAAAGATTGAGACCCCCTTTCCCCCACCCCCTTTCTTTTTTGATTGGTCACTTTTTTTTTTCTTTTTTTTCTTCTCCTCCAATCACCACCCGCCACGTGTGTGTGGGGAGTGGTGGGGGTTGAAATTTGAGGGGGTCTAAATCACTGTATAATAAAATATAATAAACATAATACCATGAAAGTCTCCACAAAAAAGGAAAGGTATCATTTATCTCCACCAAAAAGGAAACGTTATAATACATAATTAAAACAATATGACATATAATAAAATATAATTAACATATAAAAATGTGAAATTTCATATAAAAATGTCAAACATGCTCATAGAGCATGTTTGATTGGAAGGATTAAAGCATGGGATTAGGATTATTAATCCGTGGGCCCAATCATCCTATGTTTGTTTTGACATTTTGGTTTAGGACTATTAATCCAATGGATAATTAATCCAACAAATTTGTAGGATTATTAGTAATGGGGTAGGGGTAGGATAGTTAATACCACACTAATTTGATTGGATTATTAATACCTCACTATAAGTATTGTGAATCAAACATGGCCTCTCCATGAAAAAGGAAATGTATCATTTATCTCCACCAAAAAGGAAACGTTATAATACATAATTAAAACACTATGACATATAATAAAATATAATTAACATATAATAATATAATACCATGTAAGTCTCCATGAAAAAGGAAAGGTATCATTTATCTCCACCAAAAAGGAAATGTTTATAATAATACATATATAACACCAATGTTAAAAATACAGAAAATTAAATATAGAATGGACACAGATATCTCACAAAGGTAGGTCTCATATGTGAATCCCACATCATGTGGGCCCCATCCATTATATAATGGGAAATATAATATCAATAGAGTTTTAGAAAAATAATTACAAATTAAAAAGAAACTTTATACATATTAATAATTAAAATTATAAATTTTTTCATGTATATGTATATGTATATGTATTTTATTTTATTTTTGTTTCTGACACCATTGAGGTGTAATAACCCTTATATAAATGTACCATATGGTATAAATATTATGCAAATTTCAACAACAAAAAAAGGAAACATTCATGCCTATAATAAACATAATGATATACATATCATTTAAATCAATGGTAAAAAAGCCATTAAATTGTAATAAAATTTTGAAAGAAAATTTTAATTCGTAGCATTCTACATAAGTGGAATTACACGTGTTAATAGATTTTTCATGAAATTTGTCATAAAATAAAATTATACAGTAGGACTTTTCACTAATTTCCTAATTGGCACCTTTACTTGTATTAAAAGATGATTTCTTTATTTTTATTTTTTTTCATGCCCCTAAATCTAGTTTGTATTATAAGAATAAAAAAAAAAACAGCCGGAGGATTTGTCTGTGACAAAGAAAAAATTTGTAAAATTTTCAAATGCAGAAGGTTGTCACAACATTATTCGAAAAATTCATCAAAATCAGATTGGTTCGTTTTGTTAGTCCATGCGCATAGATCAAATTGATTAATAATATTAGCTATATGATTTTATCATGTTTATCATTAAAAAATTAAATTAGTCTTATTTCGAAATTACACTGATTGTTATTGTTTTTAAACATTTAAATTGTCCTTTTTTAAATTGGAACCCGCATGCAGCGCACCGTGGGCTTGAATTGAAATTTATTTGTACTTTTTTAGATGAATCACTGAATCGAAACATTAAAACATGATTTGCGATGGACCCGTGGTCCAACCCTTACATTTATTGAGTACTTGAGGGATTATTGTTTTACATCATGTCACAAAGTAATTAATAAATAAATAAATAAATAAATTCTACAATATTAAAAGTGAATGGTTAGGGTTGTCATATTATTCAAAAGAGTTAAGTTTTAAATTTCATCAATGTCATCGCTCTCTATAGTCAAGTACCTACATTGTAGAATGAAATGAGAAGTCACCGGTTCAGTGTGCTAAGGGTTTTATGGGGCATTTTTTTTATAGGTTCATTATGTAAAAGTTTAATTGATTAAGTTTTACAAAAATAAATAAATAGATTTAAAGTGGACTAATGGTTTTATGGGACAATTTTTTTATAGGTTCATTATGTAAAAGTTTAATAGATTAAGTTTTACAAAAATAAATAAATAAATTTAACATATTAAGTTTTACTTATTATTCCTTGATTGAAATTCTATTATCTTGTTAAAACGTGATAAGTGTATAAACACAAGTTAAATAAAGTACCAGGCAAATAATTTTTATTTTGTTTTAAAATTTTATTTCTATGAATTTCGTTTTACATAGCCATTTTTCAGTATATCTAGATTTTTGGATCCTATTCAATGAAATTTATCAAACAACATTCATATTAAATATAAAATTTTGAAAAAAAAAATGAAAAATTCTCAATTACATAAATTCACACAGTTTATATAAAAAAAATTATGAAACTTTACTTTCTCTACAAAAAGTGTGAAATTTCCATAGTTTCTTTGCAAAAACAATGAAATTTTGCAATATTTCACTAATAATTTAATAAAATTTTGCAGTTTTATAGATGTTTTTGTAGTACATAATATTGTTGTAATATTAATTTAACACCAAAATCATAAAGCAAACATGCAAGTTCTTCATAGCAAGAAACAACAGACTACACATATCAGAAAAACCCATGTCCATAGCCAAGGGTATATCCATGTGGAGTCATGGACAGACCTAGCCCAGAAACCTTAACATCATGAGGACCACCTCCAACATGCCCTCCCATGGAACTTGACCCAGCTGCAAAAAACCTCGAAGGGTTTGATTCCTCCATCTGAATCTTCTCGCCTTGCTTCACAACATTCTTCTTTAGATCCTCCATTGCCACCTTCAATTGCTCGAGTTGTTGAAGTCCAAGCTCACTAACCGGTGCTTCCCACCAACACTTGTCTCGGCTATCTTTCCTCATCTTGTTAAGCTCTTCGCCTTTTTTCTTCTCCGCTTCCAACGTATCAAGTGCTTCAGTAAGGTGCAAGTTAAGCTCACGAACATTTGCGTTGCGGTGAGCCTCGACAAGTTGGAGTGAACCTGAATTGGGTTGAGTGTTTCGAGAGAGAAAGCGATCTACAATGGTGTCAACACAAGGGTGGCCAAAAGAGAAGGCCTTTTTGGCAGGAGAAAAGACGATGATGGCAAGTTCAGCGCCACAAAGGGTGCAAAGTTCGCTTGCCTTCTTGAATAGCCCAGAACGACGCTTTGAAAAGGTAACAAGTCGGTTGCTTTCTTTTGACATTCTTGTTATCTCGATCTTCTGACGACCTTTGCTCTTTCTCGCCATGGCTGCAACCGATGACACACAAAAAAAATTATTAGAGAAATAAGGAATTGAAATGGTGATTATCTAATGAGAGAAACGTATGAGTATATATAGGGTGTGTTTCCATATATAGTTTGAATTTACTCTCAAAACTTGTTGAAAATTTGCTTCCTTTTAGGTTTTAATACTATATTTTGCATGTCATTTAATTTAATTACATATTTTGGGGCAAGTTAATGTCACAAAATTTCTATATCCTTATTTTCTCGTACGTTGACAGCTATCCAATGTGATATAAATCTCAAAACAAAAACGAATGTTGGAATTTAAAAGCATATTTAGAACAGAAAGACAAAGAAAGCATGTAATTTTGTTCTCTCTCAAAATTAGATAGTATTTGGAGCCTCAATAGAGTGTAGTGTATTCTAAGCTAAATGGTGGCATAGATTATCAAATTATTCAATTTTTTTCCCCCCTTGAAATGTAATCAATCATAATACTTGAATGTTTATTCATAGTCTAGCTATGTAATTTTCACTATTGTAATATAAATTTATTTACAAATTAATAATATTGTTACGTTATACATTTGTTATACCCAATATATACTCGTATTTATGGTCATAAATTGCCAAATGGAATGTGATACAAAAGATGGTGAAGTAATAGGAGGAAACAAATCAAACCATGTCAAGTCCATATGTATTATGTTAAGTCTCATATATTTTATAAACCCCAAAATTTTGGTAGAGCTCTGCAAAAGGTTAAAAATTAAATTTTTTCAAATGTAACACTAAAAATGGTAACAAAATTTGACAATACTCACTCATTTGGAAATTTCAATCAAAAGAACCTAGTGTGAATTTTTGTAAAGTGTGAAATTTTAAATGTAAATATTCACATTTAAGACTATGGAAAAAAAAATGCTATAAGTATGAAATTCCACTTTTTCATTCAATAAAATTATTAAAACACGATGACAGATAATAAAATATAATTAGCATAATAATATAATACCATGAAAGTCTCCATGAAAAAGGAAAGGTATCATTTATGTCCACCAAAAAGGAAACGTTTATAATAATACATATATAACACCAATGCTAAAAATACAAAAAATTAAAAATAAAATGAACACAGATATTTCACAAAGGTGGATTTCATATTTCACAAAGGTGGATTTCATATGCGAATCCCACATTATGTGGGCCCCATCCATTATATAATGGGAAATATAATATCAACATAGTTTTAAAAAATAATTACAAATTAATGAGAAACTTTATACATATTAATAATTAAAATTATTTCATGTATATGTTTTTTTTTTATGTTTTTTTTTTTTTTTTTTTTTTTTTTTTTTTGTCTTCTGACACCATTGAGGTGTAATAACCCTTATATAAATGTACCATATGACATAAATATTATGCAAATTTCAACAACAAAAAAAAGGAAACATTCATGCCTACATTCATGCCCACAATAAACATAATGATATACATATCATTTAAATCAATAGTAAAAAAGCCATTAAATTGTAATAAAATTTTGAAAGAAAATTTTAAGTCGTGGCATTCTATATAAGTGGAATTACACGTGTTAATAGATTTTTCATAAAATTTGTCATAAAATAAAATTATACAGTAGGACTTTTCATAATTTCCTAATTGGCACCTTTACTTGTATTAAAATAGTTTTTTTTTTTTTTTTCATGCCCCTAAATCTAGTTTGTATTATAAGAAGAAGAAAACAAACAGCAGGAGGATTTGTCTGTGACGAAGAAAAAATTTGTAGAATTTTCAAATGCAGAAGGTTGTCACAACATTATTTGAAAAATTAATCAAAATCAGTTTGGTTCGTTTTGTTAGTCCATGTGCATAGATCAAATTGATTTAATAATATTAGCTATATGATTTTATCATGTTTATCTTTTAAAAATTAAATTAGTCTTATTTCAAAACTATACTGATTGTTATTTTTTTAAAACATTTAAATAGTTTTGTTACAATTATTAAATTAATCTAATTGTTTTTATGCTGGGGGGAGAATCCATTTTCTATTTACAATATGCTTAAAATGGTTTATTAATGATAAACAAAATTTGGGTGATGACAATATGAATGAAATGTCCTGAAATTGGAGCATGCGGGCCTAAACTTCGACTCCTACATAAGTGCGGTGGGATTCCCTGTAAATATGCTGTAGGTGCTAAGGGGCAATATTTCCTGGCGGATATATTGGAGTAGCCTATCTGCATATCCATTTTTTGAATAAAAAAAAAAAAAGTGAATGTCCTGAAATTTATTTCATCACAACTATTTTATTTTTTATTTTTTGTTGCAAATCTCCTTTTTAGCTTCCAAATTTTTTTGTCGCCAAAAAAAGAAAAAAAAATCACAATAATTACAGGAAGACGTTCATGCACATACAAAATTTGTACAAGTGCTATAACATTTCAATAAAAGGACATATTTATGAAATTATAAGCTTTCTTTAACAAAAGAAAAATCAAACAACAAAAGAGAAGAAAGCACAGAGCCAAAATTACACTTATTTTAACTCAAAACCATGACATAGGAACATACCTCCCCATCTTAGTTTTATTTTTGTGCTGATCATTTATAAGCTTATCTATAAATGTATGCTAGTAATATATACATATATATATATATATATAAATAGCACAAATCTCTAATAAGGATGTCGTCCAATGTAGTTGCCTGGGGATCATAATTGCAGATCACAAGCCACCAACCGTTGTTGGTACACTGAACCTTAGCGCACCCAAAACAGATTGAGTTTTTCCATGCCACCTGGGTATAATGCAAGCATTGTTGTCCCTCAACGCATGAGTTGGAGTCGTAATCATAGTAAGGCTTCTCTCCTACTCAAAGGTTCACTCTGTCAGTGCTTATAAATGAACCGCTGCCCTCAGCAAGATTCTCTCCATAAGGTCCACCGGAGTGGATGAGATTGCAATCACCCATCCTTGAAATAGCATAGCTGTGTGCATAGGCGGCAACGTTGTTGTCCCATGTCATAGGTCCAACACCCACTTGGGCACCAGCTGCATTGTGGGCATTGAGGTAGTCTTGTGGTGAGTCTAAGCTAATGATACATAACAAAGCTAATGAAAACTCCATCTTCGCTTTTGGTTCTATAATACAAAGATTTCACAAGTAATTGACGTGAAATGAGGCTTGATTGAGGGGATATTTATAGGAAAATTCCATGGACAATTTAACTTTGAATAGTATGTGTAAAAGAGAAACCATTGGTTAGTTTAACCCTATAGTCACCCAAACTTCCCCCTTGGACAGAAACCTTCAACTTCGGATAATTTTTGAAAACTTTAGGGGAAATTAAAAATTAAAATAAATAAATAAATCAGAGTTTGATCTTGTAACAAAATTAATTTTGAGTTTTTAATTTTTTTTCAATTAAACCATGAAATTTTTATTTGTTTTTAATCTGAACCATTTACCTAATTTCGTTATGAAAAATTGATAGAAAAAAATAATATTTTAGTCATTAAATTGAGTTTAATGACTAAAATACTATTTTTCGACGATTTTAGTTAACAAAAATAGGTAAGTTATTTATATTAAAAATAAATCAAAATATTAGATTTTAAATTGACAAATTAAAAAATTCAGGATTTATCATGACTGGATTTAATCTCAATCTTTTATTAAATTTTTTTTTATTGACTATTCTGTGATTCATTTTAATCTTCTAATATTATTGATCTTTTTGCCTTAATAACACGTTTAATTGGATATGAGAGAATCCAAATCTGAGACATCCAAAATATAAATTACATATAAATATTATTGAACTTTTTACATTTAAAATTGAATATGCAACGCAATGCACAGTAAAACAAACTTTAATTATTCAGGAGAATTACTTTTCAGTTGTACATTTACAAAAATATTATAAATACATAAAAAAATATATTATTAATATTTATAAAATTTATTATTAATTTATAACTTGCTTTTAAAATTTGGACTGATTTTTTATTTTTTTGAATTATTTCCGCTGTGATACGAAGGGACCGGCATTAACGGTCACAAATTTTGAAGACTGTTTGACCGCTAAAATCAATGGAGGCACATGCTCCCTTGACGGTACTGTTTGGAGACGTGTGATACCCGTCACCAGTTTTATTTTAATGATTACATTTATTTATTTTGTAATTATTTTGTGTACAAATTATGAGTTTTGTTAAATAAATGACGATAATTAACCCCACTAACATAGAATTAACAAAGACAATTAATATATCATGCTAAATAAAAATTTTCTTTTAATAAGACTAAACTATCCTTTTTGTATTTTCTTTCATTTTACTTTTAATTATTTTCTTCTGTACTCTCACTCCGTGCCCCTTTTTTTATTCTTCTTAAATTATGGGACCTATATATATTAAACTACTTCAAAAATTAGATTAATTAAATTTTTTTATACATCTTTAAAAGGATACCATATTTTTATGTGTAACTTTTTTTTACCATATGTAATTTTTATACTATATATGTGTACGGTTTTTACCTCTATTTTTTTGTACTCTTTTTTTTTAATCATAATATTTTGTAATTAATATCATATCAACCAAATGGTTCATAAAATAAAAATTAATTAACATTTTTTTAATTTTTTATAATAATGGGATTCAAAATATTTCATAATAAAAGGTAAAAATATTAAAAATAAAACCAAAATACCGTTTTAATCTATTTTTAAAATGCATTGAAACTTTTTTTAATGTCTTTTTAATTGAATAAAAGGAATCTGTACATTTTTTTTAAAAGAACCACATAATAATAAATATTACAACACTTTGTGGGGTTAGTTACATAATTTTGTGGTTAAAGTTACAAACAATCAAAATGCACCACTAAAGTGAAAGTTGTGAATCGTAATGGTTATATTATGAATAGTGTGATAAAAATGTTACGAAACATTAGTAATTAAAAATATTATGAACCATTTTTGCTGATAATATTACATGTTATGATATTTATCACGAAATATTATGATACAAAAAAAAAAGAGCACAA